ACAAGGGCATGCTTATTCCTGGAGAGGGCACTTAACTCAAACTAGTTCAGTACTCTGGTGTGTAGCTGTTGGCAAATGGATGTGGCTGCAGCATCTTTGAGGAAATTCATTCACAATCCCACTGCCTTGAGGCCACCTCCAGTATGAATTGCCAGCCAGAACACCACGGATGAAGAAATTGGAGGAGAAGGTGTGTGGATTATGTGCTTGGTTATCAGAAAAGTATCTTGTACATGTGTGGGGGTAGGTGGACTTGCACAATATTATGCTTTTTTTTTTTTTCAAATGACCAAACATCTCAGGTTTGTAACTATTCCGGCTTTAATTCCTCAGAAGTCCCTTCCATGTAAGGCCCTAGATCAGCACAGTGATCTATGATCTAGTTGCTGCTCAGGACTGCCAAGATCGTGTCCATCCTAGCACATCTCACTCCCTTTGACTGTAGAGCACACTGTACTGACGATAATACGGCAAGAGCTATTACAACCTTTCCCTGGTCATCTAGAGAACATGTGCTAAACCTACTTTCCCCTGGTTCTCTCTAATTCTAAATCTAATCTAATAATGACATCTTAAATATCTACATTGTCATTTATTTGCAATTCCTCACAAAGGGCAAGCCTGAACACTCACAAGCATACATACACACTTCCCTACACAGAAACACAGCTGGAAAAGTGCGGTAGCCTTCCAGAGCATGACAGGGCTTTTAATGACCACACCTACCCCCTACTCACAGGTCCATCTGCACTAGAATTTGATCAGTCATTCCAAACAGCTGCCTTTTCTTTCTAATTACCTTTCCAAAGAGCCATTTCTTACTATTCCCAAATGGAAAACCCCTCCTCCCTTCCAAAATTATGTCTGTGATGGACAATATTTTTTCTTAGTTTTGCTAAGACACTTTGGTTTCTGTGCTCTTTAGCAATCAAAGCAGGCAAGGATTTAAAAATTTGGGAAAGAATCTTCCTGCAGTTTCATTCTCTAATGGATTGGGGTATGGTATTGGCTTTTATGCTTGTTTTTCAGATTGTCTTAGAGATCTTTGTGAGACTCACAAACCTATATTGTTGATCTCAGAGAAGCGACCTATATTTACTAGTGGATGAGTTAAAATGTAGTCCTACTGTCATTTGGAAAAATGCTATAAAATAGATAAAATCAGATATCTGGACTGTGTACACATGGTTTAATAAAGCATGGAGTCAGCTCAAATCTGCAGCAAGCAACCCTCATAGCTCTCTCCAGGACACGCTATTCCACATGTATACCTGTACATGCAGAGCAAGAAAGATCCATGTACACATACGTGTACATTTTTTTCAGCCTATGCTGCCTCTAGGTTGGTAAGTCAACAATAAAAACCAGCATGTCACCATTTAGGACAGGAAGTGAAAACTATATTTAGCTGAAACTGTAGTAGAAAGGAGGTGAGCAGAATATTGCTTACATTTGTGCCCCCATTCCTGTGAACACCGGTATGAGACTATCTACAATAATGATGAGCTCACTACTCAGCAATACTCCTGGTGTGGTCTTCTCTCTAGCAAACAAATGGGTAGTTCTGTCTGGCCTACCACCATTATCACTGCACAACATGCTCTGCTAAGCTTGGCAAGTACTCACTGAAAAGCACTGGAATGATCACATGACAAGTCACTGTGGTTGCAAACACGTTCTTGTTAAACAAATTCTAGGACATTTGACGCCTTCTCTCTGGATGCACCAAACTCAGGTACCTTTGGAGAACACCTCATTTGTATCTTTACAGTAATATCCCAATCTTAGTGCAAAGCATCTTGAGCACAGACATTTCCTTCCTGAGAAGCACCATCCCCCAGACCTGGAAAGTGTAACCCTTATCTGAGCTTGACAGACAGCAGAGATTTAATGACACTGATTCGTTTCCAGTTGCCTGAAATGTCCCCTCCCTACTTAAACAATGCAACTCACATATCCTTGGTTGAAGTTTTTTTCTTTGAGCAATACTTTGCATTGGGTCCAGGACCTCCTGAGGCCAACAGGACTTGTTCCACTGGTTCAAATAAGCACAGATTCAGTCCTTTACAAAGAATGGTTCTTGAGGAGCTTTTAAAATCAGTTCTTTTGTTTAAAACCTGTAAATGTTTGTTATTCACCCCACTGCAGAGACAGATGTGTAGCCTGGGCAGAAGAGCCATTTAATAAGAAAGCTTTTGTGGCCAACAAGTATGTAAAAGCTCCCATTCTAGCAGAAGTCATGGGTTTGATAGGGTGCTTACCAAAGTGGTTTTCTGATCTGCTTTACATGGAAGGTCAGACTAGAAAATCAAAACAGCCCCCTTTGAAGCTGAAATCTGTGAACTTACGAGAGTCGTTCCGTTTCCAGATTCCTCCAGCGCTTGACCTCTTTTCATCTTTTATCACATGAAATCTGTCAACTGTGATGGTGGTTTTTGTGCCAAAAAGAAGTGTCATCAAGAAGATGCACAATCATTAGTTCATGAGGCAGTCTGGTGCCCCAGCAGTGAGAATCACCGTAACCCTCCCAGCTACCTGAACCAGCCATTATCTCCAAGGACTATTTAATATTTGCATATTATGTCTCTGTCTCAGATCCTGTCTGCTCTCCTCATCATCTCTTCTATACATTTGCCAGATGTGGGAATGAAGGCATACATCTTTTCATGAAACTGTGGTCACCAGGCTCAATCAGCTCACGTATCTCCAGATGTTTTGTGATCTCACCACTTACTAACGTTCCTAGGAGTTAGCCTGGCTCTAGGTCAGAATTACTGGTGAAATTTCCCTGTTTCTCTCCCAACCCTTTTTGCAAGAATTCTATTAGGTTTATTTCTACGTGGCCTCTAGCTACACTTCTCCCCACACTCCTTCTCTGAGGAGCCACTATTTCTGGAGACAGATTTCTCCCCAGTGTCTGGCTGTCATTACAGAAGTGTAAGTCAGCAAAATCTCTGTATAGATTTCCTACATGCAAAGTAAACTTTTCAATCATTACTAGGAATGGATACACGGATACTTTCCAAGCCGATAGGGTACTTTTATGCTAATTTGCATTGTTACAGTTTCTGTGCATGTGAGTAAGCTTTCCTATTTAATTAATAACCTGAAGACTCTGGTGAATGGAAATGAAATCTTGGCAATTTCTCATGCGATTTTTTTGTGCACGTTTTTAAAAATCAGGTCCAAATTCTCCACTGGCAGCTTGCCTTGTGTTACCATCCCTTTTGGAAGCTACCAATTTTATGTAAACATACTTTGTGAAAGTGGCACCTAATTCAATGTGAACATAACAGGACATTAACTAAACATTATTTAGACACATTTCTATTTCTGTAATGTGCTGGAGGCCACAAGGTATGCATGCTGAAGAGTAATTTTGAGGATCTTCAGCAATACTGTGGCATGTAAACAGAAAGAGTTAAAAGGGATTTTTTAATACCTAAGTTCCTTGCTGTGAGTGGGAGACAGATTGAAAATAAAGACAACCAGTTAATTAAATAAAAAGCATTCTGTTAAATTGCTCAGATACTCATATTAAGAATGCATGCATCATGCGCATTCATGCTTCAGCATTCCTGCAACCACTTGACCTACAGCCCAAATCTAGGGTCTGTTGCTTGTTTACTTTCTCCTGCAACCCTAAACTGAAAGCATACCTTTGCAAGCACGTGGCTCCTTTCAGACAAGCTGACAAAGAGGTAAACTGTATAAATCTTACAGTTGCTCAGTACTTGGCAGTTTAACTATCACACATGTAGGTAATAGTTGCAAAGTGCAAATTCTTTGGATTACTATCTAAGTTCCTCTTGCCAGTCTACAGGGATTGGATTTTTTCATTTTTTCCGTCTGTGTGATCTTTGTCCCTCAGTGTTTAACATTAAGTGGAACTGAGGAATTGTACCTCGGAACAGGAGTGTCATTGTTCCACTTATGTAAACAACTGAACAAGGAAAATGTAGTGACAGTTTTAACACAGGGTTCTCCCTCCATCCCACACACTCCATGTGTCTACCTGGGAACAGTGCATGGTGAAATTACAGCACACTAGCCTGTCAGCAGCAATTTTATCCCTTTTTTGACTGTGTGTGTTCTAAGCCAAAGGGGACTGGCTTGCAGCACACTTAGGGACTGAAAATGCAAGGATCCCGTATCTAGCCAAGTTCTATACAGCTTCTTCCACTGCACCCATCACAGACACATCTGGCAGCTTTTATTTGTGGGAAACAGGCTAAGTGTGTCAGAGAGATAAGAAACACTCTTAATAGCTAGTATTATGTTTTTCCAGGGGGGTGACAGAGCCACTATGTAACTTTCCCAATTGTTTTCAACAGGAAAAAGAAACGCCCAACTTCAGTATGGGCTTTATGGTACAACTGAGCCTTAGGGAGATTCCAGCCTGATCCTGGAATCCCAGCAGCTGATTGTCTCCCCAGTAAAAACCCATTTTCTCTCCCACTATGTTTTCTTGGGGCTCAGTCCTGCAAGGTGCAGTGTCTGCTGGCCAGGAGCAAGGAAAACCTGGAGTGTCTTCCTAACAGAAAGCCTACCTGAAGTCTCTGGGGATTCTGTGGACAGGGTTTGTGTGTACTTTAGCATGCTGGAGATGGAGTGACTATCAGCTCATAGGGATGCACCCTTACCCACTTCTCAGCATTTCAGTAGAAACAAAGCAAGTCTCCCAGACAAGATTTGTCACACTTCCAAAAGCAAAGAACTCCCTTATTCTGTCCTGTGCCCTAAACTGCAATTGGAATTGATCCTCTTCCCTAAATAGCTAATATTCAAGCTAAATAAAGGAACTGCAGTTTGTTTTCAGCTGGAATATGTTAGCTAAAGGAAATACTGTAAATCACAGTACAGTCATGCCACACCATTGTGATTGTGCAGCTGGTAACTCGGCAGCCAGCTCATAAATGCAGCTGAGAACTCTTTATGAAATAGGAAAAGGAAAGCGACAGTTATTAAAAATGAGCAGTCACTAAAGATTCAGGACTTACCCTGAGTCATCCCTGGCTCCCTTGTCTCTTGCTGATGTTTTCATCATTACAGCAAACTTTAAGACACTTTCTCTTTCACAGTGGCTTTAGAGTTCCTTGGTAAAGAAAGCAATTCCTTTCCATCGCTGAGCAGAACCTCCACATCCTTAGTTTTTGTACTGAAGATGATATTTCAAGGAGCGACAGGGGGAGGATGTTTAAAACCAGCTTCAGGCTCAGTAGTATCAGAGGGCAGGGGACTAACAAACACACAAATGAAAGCAAACTACCAAGAAGATCTCATTTTAGCCTCTCTTATTTCTACTTCCTGTATTTATATGAACAGGGGATTTCAGGAAGAGGCAGTCTTTGGTGGTCAGGGGTGTGTGTGTGTGCGTGCGTGTGTGTATTTTATAAAGCCATATTTAGTAGTGAAGGCAGGTTAACCTTATTAGACAGAGGGGCCTGAGATTGCTTATTTGTTTCTCTAACTAAGGAAGTTTCAAGGAAATTGTTTTACAGACTACAGGTATATAAGGAGGCAACAGAGCATGGTGAACTTTGTAAAGGATTTTATAAGGCAGCAAAGCAGTAAGTCTCCGTCTGCAAATTCCTAAAGCATGTGTATTTCTATTGCTTGAGTAACTGGAACCAGATGGAGCTTGGAAACCTTTATATTTACATAGGACCTGAGAAAATGAAATGTCTAACACTGGCAGAGGAGTGCTTTGCAAAATATTCCCAGTTAAAGCAAAAGCAAATGATAAGGCTGTAAGACTGCTAGTAAATCAGCAGCTATCCATGCTGTGATGCTCCAGTCAGTCTCAGAGCACATTTGACATGCAGTTACTTAAGTGGTCAAGTAGTGCTTGCTGTACTGGAAACCCAACTGAATACAGACCAGCTGTGGAGGCTGAGGACTGACAGATCCACTCAGGGCTGGTGGCACTCCTATTTGGCAGCCCTATCATTCCAGAAATATTTGATGCTAGCAGAATACATAATGGAAAAAATGAGGCAGAAGTATGAAGCAGAGGCAGAGAAAAGCAATTGCATGGAACAGCGAGGGAGACAAAGGTAACTTTTTGCCCCTTTTATCTTTAGAAGGAATTTCCCAGCTTTCTAAAAGTACATAGTCTGTGCCATACAGCCCACAGCAGAAATGCAAATACCAGGCAGCTGCCAGTGTACTGACACGAGAGAAACAAGATCTTCTATTATAGAACATGGAACCAGTTCTGCTGGCGCTAACCTACAGAGATTCAGGGGAACCTTTATGATCGCCAGATCACACCTTCTGTGCAATACAAGACAAGCTTTTCTCTGGGATTTTTGATCAAGCCTGTAACTTCTTTGACATTAGAAAAGTTATTTTCTAGATTTTGGAAGGATTTCTCTTAGAAAGTCAAAAAGCCTTACTGAAAGGCTGCATGATGGGAAACTTACTGCCCTTCTACATAAGGTGTCTTAGTAGTTAACTGTTGATATTTAAATTCACATCTGGTACTTTGCCTTGACTTGTCTAGTTTTAAATTTCCACCTACTGTATCTCAAAATGTTCTTTTCTACTAAATTAAGGAGCTCCTTGCTCCAACTCATGTAGTTATTTTCAGCCAATGACGAACTCATTCAGTAAGCCTTCTTAAACAAACTGGTTGTCTAAAGAGTTACTCACCCCTCACTGCAAGCTTGTCAGATCTTAGTTCTGAATCCTTCTATTGGTTCTGGGCACAGAGGTCCAAGAAAAAAATATGCTTGAGATTTGTTCACCAGCCCGGCACTTTTGAAATGCACCATGGGTACTGGCATAAGAGCCATCTCCTAGATGCATCACACAAATTCAACTCTACCCCAGGCTTCTGTTTCCCTCTACTGCAATTCAGCAGGGACCAGGCCCACTCAGAATTTACCACTGCTTTGCTGGCAAATAAGTTTGCTGAGCCGAAAAACTGTAAAGTGTGCTGCTCTGCATGGACCTGCCCATATGGGGGAATCTGTGTGCAGTGAGCATTAGGCATTTCCAAAGATGTTGTTAGGGAAGAAGACACAAAAGGACTTAGAAATAAAAATACCCAGCAAAAAAAATGAGGAATACAAAAATTCAGTATTGTGCTGCTATGTCAGTTTCACCTGATTAGAGAAGCTGTGTATTTTATTTTCTTTGTGAAATCTTTCACACTATTTGTAATCTAAAGAATGTAGTTTCAGAAATCTGAAGTTTTGAAATTAGTTTCTTTAAACACACTGACCAAACTTAATGAAAATACCCTCATTTATATTTAGTTTTTCTGTAGCACAGTTAAGTATTTTGTAAACTACTTAAAATGAAGTCAACATAGTAAATTTTGCCCAAGCTTTGCTGGGTATTTTTTTTAAGCCAGAGATATGGCAGGTTTGGAATGTGACACTGTGTTCTAGTAACAGGCTTTGTAAGTAAACAATTACAAAAAACCTAAATGGCAAAATAATATCCAGTCACTGCAAAATGCCACTTCTTGATAAATCTTGTCTTTCTTAGGACTTACCTTTTCCATATTAAGCTACACCATGCTGCAGCCCCTATTTGTGTTTTTATGCAGCTGAGTTGGAAAGATTTAAAATGACTTCTGGAGGCAGCGCGTAAGTACAATGAGCACTTTGGCTATAATAGTGCTTTCAGCATATGCACAGATTATATGACAGTTCTGCTTTCCATACAGTAGGAAGCAGCTGCATCAATAATACGGCATATGATAAGGGCCTGTAGGAATTGTCATGCCTATTGTGTCACTAATCTGCAGATTATGTGCCTTTTATAGAGCCTATTACATAACAGATCATGATGGGTCATCATGTCAAACCTATGGGGATTAAAAGAAGGGGAACTTCCCACATTTTAAAAGTTACTTCTGTGTGTAAAAAGGAATCTTCTCCCTTTCCCAGCTTATAAACATCTAGCCTAGCATACACCAAAGAATGAGCCCTTATGCAAAAGTCAAAGAACGCAGGACATCCCTTTTCTCCACTTCACTAGGACACTTTGTAGATGCACAAATGCCACAGTGGCTAATGACAAGTTTATACAGCAACAGGGATTTCAAAAGCATGAATTGTGGTTAATAAGGTCAATGTTTGTTTTAACTTGCATGTCCTAGTCACTAACTGTCTAGGACTATTCATGACAATGAAACTGTTAATACACCAGCACATTAGATGAAGTTAACTCTTAGCTTCTCTTTTTCCCCAGAACTGCATTTAAAAGCTTCTTGTCAGCCCTGAACAGATTGTGCCAGAGACAATGTACATATACCAGAAATCATCACAGACCCTGAGATGGATTGCAGGGATGTTGAAAGCCGGCAATCAAGGGCAAGAGGGATTATTCCTTTATTTCACAGTATCTCCAGAGCCTAGGTAAGCCTTCCAAGGAAAGGAAGGTAGTGCTGTGCAGCTTTTGGACCTTGCTTCTATCTCGTCTAGTCAGTATCCAGTACTCAGTGTGAACCTGCTGAATGCCACTATACCATGGGACAAAGCAGCCAAAATGCTCTTGATCGAGGTGTTTCTGAGACTCCCACCATTGCTTCTGGATCAGTGTCTCAGTACAGCAAACTGTCTCCTCAGCAAATCACGTATTTCTAGTCCCAAAAGAGCAAATTGTGTGTTTTGGCACTGGTACAAATCAGATAACGTACATTTAACTCACCTCAAATAATGGCTTGATCCAGGTGATACTCCCTGGAATAGATGACAATGTGCACCTTCCGTTATTATGTTCAGCAGGGTCCAGATTTTATGAAGAATTTCATGAATTTCATTTCTTCATATCCTAACTGGGTCCTGAAATTTTAGATTTTCAACAATAAATATGAGAATATTTTACATGCTATCATCAGAGGAAAAAAAAAAACCAAACACCCAGCCAACACTCTAGTTGTTTAAATAATTTATTGATAGTGTGTATGTTTTTATATAGTGCATTATAATACTGACTGCTATAATCTTTTATAAATGCTGAATTAACTATTTTTTTAAATTTTCACAACAAAAATAATCAAATATCATGCCAACATTTTGTAACAAATTATCACATTAAATTCATTTGGATTTCATGACACATTTATCTGTACAAAGGACCCCATATCACAGAGCATTCACAGTGCATAAGGTCACAGTCATTGAAAAAATAAATAACATGATAGATTTCTGTTACTTACAGTTTACAAACCCATCCCTTTCTGTTTTCAAAGTAAGCAGTTCTAGAAACTTTTAATAATATTTAAAGAGGTATTGCACCTCCTAAGGGTGCACTGCAAATTCCTGCAAGTATGAAACACAGGGAATTTTAAAAGGTTCAGAAGTTATTTCAGCGATCATAAATGATTTTGAATACTTTCTTGCAATGGAGGAGACAGTGGGAGCCAAATTCTACTCTCAGTTCAACTGATACGAATTTGTGCCAACTACAAGGACATTAATGAGCACTGGCACCACTCCCAAGAACATGAAGGCAAGAATTTGGTCACAACTTTGCTGCAGTTTCAGCCATTTGAAATATAAATGCTGCTGGGGAAGCAGATATACAAGTGTTCTTTGAACACAACTAGTATATGAATGAAGACCATGATCTTGCTGTAAAAAACCTCTGAAATGAAGCATCTCAGTTGGTGTTAGTCCTTCTAGAGATTATACCTCTGATATTGATATATTCTGATACCTTTAGACTTTTTTCACAATTCCATATTGCTGTAAATCAACCTCTGTATTTGTTTTTCAAGTTTACTAAGATCATTTTGGTCATAAGATGGCAATGATCACTTAAATTCTTTGTGCAAGTAAAAAGGAAAAATAAATGGAATTAAATTCAAACTGGCAATTCTTGTAAGAAAATATCCAAAGGGCACTGGTTTCCCTTAGTCATTAATTTCTTCCAGACAGTGCACTGTATGTCAGAAGTATGGTAGCAAGCAGAACAACATGATGTATAAATCACCACAATCACTACACATCTCAGCCTGTGGAGAAGGACCTCACATTTCAGGGCAAAGATATATAGGATTTCACAGCTTTCTTTGGGGAGAAAATATCAGGATCCCACACAGAGGGAAATGTGATAAAAGTGTACGTTCAAGTTACTCAAAAGGAGGCTCTTAACGTGTACAAGGTAGCTCAGAAACTGGAATGCACACGTCAGTTGAACAACATTTTTCTCTTCAGCAGAACATTTATCACTTGCATACAGACTTTTCAAAAGAGGTCAAGGGAATAATAAAGGGTTTGGTACAGAACTGCTGGAACTAAATGCTGTCATCATATAAATCTCACCACCCAGCAAAATAAAAACTCTGGAGTTCATACTCAAAGAAATAGAAAGCAAATTGTG